AACCGGGTGACAGCTGAGAGGAACCTGTTTGACCGCGTGGTCACCCTGCGGCTGCCTGGTGAGGACCTAGAAGCCCTGTACCCAACACACCACAGGCCTTGGTTCCTCTGCCAGGAGCAGTGCTGCCTGATTCTATATTCTGCACCGGGACAGCCTGGCTTGGCACCCCCAGCCTAGCTCAGCCTTCTGTGGGGAGGAGGGTGGGAAGTGTGAATGACGATGATGTCAGCTGGGCAGGGATGGAGCCCCTGCAGTGGGACCACTTGGGTAGCTCATCCCCTTCCTTCCCTTTCCCTTAGGCCTGGAGAGTGTGGATCACTACCCTATTCTGGTGGCAGTGACAGGCATCCTGGTACGACTCCTGGTGCACGGCCCAGCCTCAGGGTGAGTGTTAGGGGCTGGGCTTGTCTGATGGGGAGGGGGCTGGGCAGGGCCTTCCAAAGCTCATCTCTCACATGGACTTCAGCGTCAGGTCTGGAGCTGGAAGGAAGGTAGTGAGGTATGAACTGAGTAGGTGGCGGCATCAGCAGCAGCAGCAGCAGCAGCCTAAAGTAGGAGAATCCAGGAGCTCAGCAGAGCAGGGTGCCCTGGCCCACGGGCAGAGCCGCCGGCTGTGGCTGTGCCTCAGGCAGGGGCAGGAGAACTAAGAGTGTGCTAAGGGCGGTGTGCCATCCTGACATATCCAGGGACACACTGCTGGGGTTAAGAGCTGAGCACACATACTGCCACCTGTGTCTGTGAAGGCTCAAATGACGAGCATGTACTACCTTTATTAAGAAATTCCATCATAGCTGGATCCAGGACACTTGTGGGCCCCCCAGCTCAGCCCTCACTCAGGAGGGGTTCCCAGTCCCCGCTTCCCTGCCTCCCTGCTGTGGGAGTGGTGAGATGCATATGAAGCCAGGGCACTGCTTCAGCCATTAGGCTGATACCAGTGCCAGCCCTTAAGAGGATTCTACCCTTGGGAGACAGCAAGTTCCGGCTCAGCCCTCCCATCTTAGCCATGCTCAGCAGGCTTTTTACTGCTGAAAAGCTGGGGGAACAGGCCATTGGTGCCCCTTACCATTGTCTTGCGAGCCCATGGGAGAGGTTCTGCCCTCAGAGTGACCTGCAATGCCCCTGGAGGTCTCTTGAGGAGCCTTGCCTGCTGGTTGCCTTCTCACCAGACTGCATGGACTCGTGAAGCTTCAAGTAGCTTGGATGTTGGTGCGTGGGGAGTCGCATTTCACCAGAGGGCGGGCTTTTAATTCCTCTTTCCACCCTCGGGGTGGGGACTCAGTCTTCCTTTGAAGTCTTCCTCCTTTCCCGCTGTGGGCCACTCCCGTCCCCTTGGGAAGCAGAAGGTGGTCATGCTTCAATTCTTCACCACCACTCTCCTTGATGGCTGCCTTAGCCCCTGCGGGTGAACCTGGGGCTCTAATGCAAGGGCTCTTCCAGATGGCCCTCGGTTCCAATCCTCATGTGGACACAGGTAGGCCCTGCTAGGTCCTGGGATGTTTTGGTCCTGTGTTGCTGGGGAGAAGCAGGAGAGAGTTGGGGACTTCAGCCCCTCTACCAGTGAGTGGTGTTGCTGTGGTTTATGTCGAGGCCCACACAGGAGGCTGGAGGACCAAGCCCAGTGCTTCCCACCAGCATCTGGCAGTTCTCTGGGCAGCAGCAGGGAGCAGGGCAAGCAGCGGGCAGGCAGTGGCCTAGGCCCCTGGGCAGCCTAGGTCATCACCAGACCCTCAGAGCCTGTGGAGCTAGTGGACTCAGAGCCAGCCTTGAGCCGCAGGCCCATGGGATTGTGGAGGTCGAAGTCTTCAGCTACCGCTAGCTGCACACGACCATTGAGGCTTCTCCTGCCAGGTTCCAGAAAGACCACGTGCTTGTGGACACTGGCCTTGCGTCTCGGTGCATCGGGCGGCGTGGTGCTGAGCACTGAGGACTGTGCGCTCAGCTCCTGGAGTGGGCTGGGTGTTCGGGGCCAGCGGCGGCAGCGGCAGGTGCGATAGTAGCAGCTGCGGCAGCCGGGGCAGGGTGGCGCGAACAGGTAGAGCAGCACGAGCACCAGGCCCACGGCACAGCCCAGCAGCGTGGTGAAGCCCGTGTTGAAAGTGTCAGGCTCAGGGTGTGGAAAGTGCACACTTATGTTGTACTCGTGTGTCTGGTTGTGATGCAGGTGGGGTCCAGTAGCCAGGCACACAAAGACACCCTCGTGCCATGGCTGCACGTTGCTGATGGCCAGGCTGCCATCAGCCCCCACTGCAATGCTGCCGTTGCGAGACCCTGGTGCCACAAGCAGCTCGTGCTGCGGCGAGACCCAGGCAATGTGCACGGCTGGGGCGCTGGTGTTGCAGTGTAGCCTCAGGGACTGCCCCACCTGCACATGCAGCTGCTCTTCAGGCTGCTCTAGGCCCCGAGCCAGGGCAGCTGAGCAGTTCTCAAAGACACGGCTGTGCTCAAAGAAGCGCACGCGGGAGGTGGGTACCTTGAAGGCCAGGCATGTGTACTCGCCCGCGAAGTCGCTCACAGCGCTGAGCCCCCGCTGGTGCCAGCGTTGCAGCAGATGGTAGAGACGGCAGTCACAGGGTAATGGGTTGTTGTGCAAGTAAAGGCCGTTCTTGAGAAAGGCTGGCAGTGAAGCCAGGTCAGGTACAGGGATGCGTTGTCCTAGGTGGTTGGAGGAGAGATCCAGAGTACGTAGGTGGGTCGTGCCCAGGCCGTGCAGGTGATTGAAAGAGAAGGACGCAAGTTCATTGCAGCCCAGGTAGAGACGACTGAGCGTGCCCAGGCCGTGGAAGGCCTGCTCGTCTAAGTGCGCCAGGCGGTTATTGAACAGAAGCAGCATCTTGAGCTCCCCCAGGCCGTCGAGGTCGTGGCGGCCGAGGGCCCGCAGGGCGTTAGATGATAAATCGAGCAGCCGCAGGCCGCTGGCATTGGTGAAAACTCCCGGACCTAGCGCATCCAGCTCGTTGTGATTTAAACGCAGGACGCGGAGCCGGGAGAGGGGCGCCAACCAGCCGGGGCGCAGGCGCTGCAGCGCATTGTGGCTCAGGTCGAGGTCTGCAGCTGTAGCTGGTAACGCGCCCGGCACATCCTGCAGCCCCAGGCCGGCGCAGCTCAGGAGGTCGGCAGCGCAGACACATTTGTAGGGACAGTTATGAGGCGCAGGGGACAGGAAGCCCTCGGAGTCCAGGGTGCTCATTAATCCGACACGCAGCATGCATAGCAGTGTGCCCTGCAGCACCAGCCGGGCCATGGCGGCGGCTGCCAGGGGTGGGACAGGGCAGCTTGGTGCGGGTCGCAGCTCAGAGACTCACCCACTTCACATCCGGCTAGAAGTGCGGGGCGCTAAATGGCCAGTGGCCAGCGAGACAGTATGCGGGCTCCGTCCCGCAAGGCCGACCGCTCCAGCTGCCCGGCCCCAGATTTTGGGTTGAGTTGGGGCCACGCTCCGCACAGCACTCCCTTCTCAGGCTTCCCCAACTCTCTCCTGAGTGCCTTTCTGAGCACTCAGCTTCTAAATACTCTCCGGGAGGCGATTTCTCGGGGGCGGGGCCTCAGGCTCCCATTGGCTCACGTTGGAGGGGCGGGGTAGCCGCGTCCCCCGGCGTTCATAGGCCCCCGCGTGGCCGTCAGAGGGTGAGCGAGTCGGGCCACAATGCCCCAGCCTGAGCTTGGCTGCGGCTTTCCAGAGGGCCCGTCTCCCAGAACCCTGGGAAGCATGCCTTTAAGCTTCTTGTGTTTTGTGTTTTCTTTGAAGGGTTAACGTTTATGAGGGGGCAGGTGTTCTCTTTGAAGGGTTAACATATATGATTGGGCAGCTGTTTCCTTTTAAGGGTTAACGTAAATGAAGGGGCAGGTGGACTTCCATTATCTTCTGGTGGTGCCCCCTTAAACTGGTACCCGGCAATGTGGGTCCTTACTGGGATCTAAGACTTTACTGGGAGGACTGGAGAGAAGCAGGGAGATTGGGTGGAATGAACCAGGCAATAATGCAAGTAGGCTGGACTTTCCACCCCCACCCCTCTGAATAGATACTGATTTCAGACAGGTCCAGCCTTCTGACTACCCTTGTGCCCTCTCCCACCTAGGACAGAGAGAGCCACATCAGTGCTCCTGGCTGATCCCTGCTTCCAGCTCCGCTCCATATGCTATCTCTTGGGGCAGCCAGAGCCCCCTACCCTTGGCACTGCCCTGCCTGCCCCTGACCAGAAGCGCTTCTCCCTACAGAGCTGTGAGTAGGCCAGGGGTGGGTCAGGGAAGAGAGGGATTTGGGGCTGGGCCAGGTCAGTAGTCTTAAGAGGAGCAAATTCCCAGGCAGCGAGTACTCAAGAGGCACTGGGTTCTAGGGCCACATTTGGCCTGACACCTCCTACCACCCGCCAGACACAGATTACATCAGTGTTGAGGAACTGGCCCAGGTGGAACAGATGTTGGCACACCTGACCTCTGCATCTGCCCAGGCAGCAGCTGCCTCCCTGGTGAGTGGGGCCACAGCATACGGGTCCACACAACTCCAGTACACATCACCACAGCTGTGTGCGTAGTGTACACCCAAACTGGGCACCCAACCCCAGCCCACCCTGCACTCTGCTCCCTGCAGCCCACCAGTGAGGAAGACCTCTGCCCCATCTGCTATGCTCACCCCATTTCTGCTGTATTCCAGCCCTGTGGCCACAAGTCCTGCAAGTAAGTGGGCTGCACGGGCACAAGGGGCTGGGTGGGGAACAGCAGGGATACACAGGCCATCTTTATGCCCTCCCCTGTTGTAGAGCCTGCATCAACCAGCACCTGATGAACAACAAGGATTGCTTCTTCTGCAAAGCCACCATCATGTCTGTAGAGGACTGGGACAAGGCAGCCAGTGCAAGTGCCACTTCCTCGGCTGCCTAGGCCTACCTGGCCCACACAACAGGAACCTCTACCCTTAAACTCAAACCCAGGCTGGGCCCTATTTATGAGCCCCTTGCCCTGTCCCCCACGGCCCCCCACCATGCCCTATTTGTGCCTGAGCTTGACTTTCAGTCAGGGCCACAGTGAGCATTAAATTATTATTCCATACAGTCCTGGCCCAGCCCATCTTGAGGGAGTGGGCTTTGTGGGGTATGCCCAGCAAGGGTCTTGCCGGATTATGTCCACAGGAGAAGGCGGGTGTCCGACGGCTTCAGCCTTGTCCAATCCTCTCCAGTCAAATGGCAATGAGCCCAGGGCCTCCTGATGTGTCGAGCCAGTGATCCCCTTGCCAGTGGGGAAATGGGGGCTCAACTCAGCCAGCCCCACAGCATCCTCACATGATGATGCGGGGCTCCAGCACCGACTCACCAATAGACTTGTGGGGCAGCACACTAGCCCCGTTGAGGTAGAGCTCGTCGTTAACTATGACGTCCTCACCCAGCACTGTCACGTTCTCCATGCGCACCTTGGGGGGAGGGGCAGGCCTGTCAGCGAGGCAGAGGCGTTCCCCCACCCTCCCCATCTGGCCCAGCCCGGAGGCTTACCCACTGGCCCACGCGGCAGCGCCAGCCTACAATGCAGGACTCAAGCCAGGAGTGGGAGCGAATGTGGGCATCTCGCAGCACCGTGCACCGCCGAATGCACACACCATCCTCCACCACCACACCAGGACCCAAACTCACGTTGGGGCCAATGCTGCAGTTCTCGCCAATACGGGCACTTGGGTCCTGAGGACAGCGGGGAAAACACAAGTGGGCCATCTGTCCCCCAAGGTTGAGGGGGTTGACAATGCTCTGGGCAAGGGCCTCACCACCAGCACGTTGCCCACAATGCCAGGGCCTGAGCACAGTTGCTCAGGCTGCTTCTGTCGTAGCGACTGCAGGAAGAGGCACATGCCGGTGAGGAAATCCTTGGGCTGCCCAATGTCCATCCAGAAGCCTGTAGGGAGAGAATGCATCAGGGGGCTCAGCCCAGCCACAGACCACCCCCACCCTGTGGCCTCCCTGCCTCACCCTGCAACTCCATGGCATAGAGCTGCCCCTCCTTGGCCATGACAGGGAAGATCTCCTTCTCAATGGATGTGGGCTGCAGCTGTGGGAGTGGGCAGCTCATGAGCAGGGTCATGGCAGTGGTGACCTGCCCCACCCCAGCCCACCCAGCAGCTGGCTTCTACACACCTGGATGCGCCGTAGCACTGCAGGGCTCAGGATGTACATGCCTGCGTTGATCTTGTTGGACACAAACACCTGCGGCTTCTCCACGAACCGGTGAATGCGGCCTGTGTCCGCCTCACACACCACCACACCGTACTTAGAGGGTTCCTCCACTTTGGTCACCTGAGTGCAGGGGGACTTCAGGCCTAGTCCAGTGCTCCTGAGCCTTGATATACATGCTGTCCTAAATTTCAGGGGCACAAACTGCACAGCTCTGCACCCGCAACACCAAGGGGCAGTTCAAGGCTGGAGAATGGGAGAGGCCAGGGACGCTGCGCATGGGGACAGGAATATTAGAGCAGAAAGACGTGCTCTCTTACCAGAATTGAGCCCTCCTGGCCATGGTGCCGGTGGAACTGCACCATGGCTTGAAAGGGGAAATCACAGATCACGTCACTGTTGAGGACGAAAAAAGGGTCTGCAGTCTCAGAGAGCAAGTCACGGGCCAGTGCCAGGGGCCCAGCTGGGGGAGAGGAACAGGTCACCATCATCTTGGGGGTCTGAGCCCCTGGATCCAGGCTCAGCAGTCCCCATCCAGGCTGAGTCTTGCTCCTTCCCTGGCCCTAAACCCTCTCCAAGGGACCTTCCTGTCTCTACTGACCTGTTCCTAAAGGCTCCTCTTCATGGGACATAGAGATTCGGATTCCTAGCTGGAAGGAAGAAGCCCCCCGTCAGGTTCCTCTCACCAGGGTGAAAAGTTGAGCGGGTACCAAGGGAA